ATCAACCCATCTCCAACCGAGAGAGAATCGACCAGCCCCCACACCCACCCGGCCCGTCTAACACCACTAGCCGAGCCCAGGGTCCCCCGCCGCCTAACACCACTAGCCGAAACAGGGGAGGGTGGGGGTGGTTCGGTCCCTCAACCCCGACTGCCACAACCAGAAAAACTGCAACAAACGGAGTCCCGCCACTCCCAATGACACACTCGCCGAACAACACCACCACAGCTAGCCCTCGACCAAAAGCCTTTGCTCATCCCGAAAAGGCGGAGCCCCGCCGGAAATAGCAACGCCCAAAAATCGCGGACAGGGAGAGGAGAGAGGGACTTACCGCCACAAATCGGAGTTCCACCGGCGACTGAGGGAAAGACACCAGGCCAGACGCCGAACGGGCAGTACGCCACCACCGACCGAAGCCCCATCGACAATCGAAGACTAGACCTCCAATCGTGAACCGACCACAGCGGCACGTCGACGCGCAGCATCAGGAGTAGCCAAGCGGTCGAGGACGACCCCTAGCCGAGACTCCGCCGACGCCGAGGAAGGCAAATCGACCGTCAATTTGGACTGAGCAAGCGAATTTGGGCGTTTAGGGTTTAGGAAGAGAGAGTTTTTTTATACCAAATTTTTTTAATTGGTCATTTTATCAAACTTCGTTCTTTTCATTTTGTTTTTTTTTTTCTTTTATATTCATGTTCTAAGTTTATCGGTCATTAGAGCATTTACAATACTGAGTTCAATTAAAAAAATTCATACGCCACTTAGGAAAATAAACTCAATCTAAAAAAATATACTCTTCAATGCAAGTGCAAGTAGATTGAATTCTGCTGACGTGGCAGAAAAAAAATAAACTCGGTCTACCTTAAGTCTATTTTAGGCTCAAGTAGAGACCTAGTCTCTTTGCACTGGAGTAAATTTTATTAATTTTGTATTGTTTTATTTATATCATCAAAGACTTGATTTTATTTACATGCCACATAGAGCATCCACAATGTTTTGGGTCTCTTAAAAAAATATAAAATGTCATATAAGAAATAGGCTGTGTCTATAAAAAAATTGTTTTCCAATGCAATTAAAAGTGTACATGATTTAACTTATGTGGCATTCAAAAAATAAGACTCAGTCAACTCTTGAGTCTATTTTAAACTCAAGTACAAACCTAAATAATCAACATTTATTCCTAATTTAGTTCTTCTTTTATTAGAGAAACCTATTAGAGAATTTTATTAGTTTCCAGGTTCACTATACCTAGTATTTTATTTTTTCACTGGATAACTTTTAGGGTTTTTTTTTACATTTGTCAATGTCATTCAGAACTTAAGTTCTATATGCCACATATATAAAATTATATTCCAAATTTCCGCACTACTTAGACTTTCGGTCCCCCAGAGGGCCTACCACCACAGGAATTGGTTTCGCCAATGAATTGGCAGCCTCAGGTTCCTCTTGAGTTTTGAACCCTCCACGCAGAGGTTACAAGCCCACCCAGTTGTGCCTCGGGGACTATCATCATTTTATTTTTACTAGTACGTAACTCGTGCGATGCACGAGATGTAAAATTTGGAAGAATAATATAACCTCACGTGCATTAGGATCGAAATTGAAATCATTAAAATACATAGGAACATTGTTGAATCAAATGATTCTGTAACATTCATATATTATTAAAAACTTCCTTGCACACAACATTATGAGTTTGATTATTTGGTAACTCTTCATTATCACAAACTAATATTTTCAAAAGAGACAAATCCTAAAAATCAAACTAATATTTTTGGTGAACAAACTAATATTTTAGGATTGGTGAACAAACTAATATTTTAGGATTTCTAGGATTTGTCTCTTTTTGGTGAACAAACTAATATTTTAGGATTGGTTATATGAATAAGGCTACCTGTTTTTGGTGTTCTTTTCATTCATTTTCATTCAAACAATCCGATGACTTGTATAATGAAATTCGAAACTTAAGCCGAAATATTTAAAAAAAGAGTTTTTAAAAATTGAAAAGTCAAGGCAATCAGTTCAGATTAATTAAAGGTCAAAGAATATCCGCTCCTTGAAATAAAGACGTGTGCTATCATTAACCAAATATCCGGTTATTGATATAGAGTGGTTACCAAAAAATAGAACGCGATAAGGACGTTTCATGGAAATATCAATGGGATAAGGTCATAACAGATCGCTATATATTTTAACGATAAAATCTCAGATGGAATGATTTATGATAATTATGTCGTAATTAATGAATTAATTAGATGTGTGAAAATGACATAATTAATGAGAAGTGTGAAAAGGACATAATTAATGAGAAGTGTGAAAATGACATAATTAATGAGAATTGTGAAAAGGACAAAAACTTACCAGTTTTGGAAAATATTTAATGCAAATCCGACATTGACCATAATTTAACCTACTATTTTGGATAAATGTTAATTCTTATTATATAAGTATAGATGTGTCATGATGGTCACTCGGTTTAAAATAGTTGGTATAGATTTGAAATTTTAATCAAATTATTTTATAGTTTTATAATAAAAAAATAATTAATATAATATATTTTAAAACTAAATAATGTTTTAAATTATTATTAGTTTTTGCATATAAATATTCATATATAAAATTAATTATATTGATGTTTTTCAATATGACATTTATATTGTATATATAAAATAAAAATAATTATATTAATATTTTTTATGTAAACTAAATTTATTAATTTTAATTGAAAATAGTAATATCTTAAATATATTTAATAATATAATATTTGAATAATTATATGGGTTTAATATATAAATAGTTTGACGAGCCGACCGGCCTAATAATTAAACTAACTTGCACAAGAATTTGCGTTCCATTACGCGAGCACCGGTGCGATTTGGTACAAGACCACATTAAACCACAAACACTGAAAGTCGCACATACCAAAATAAATAAATAAATTACCGCACCGCACCCACAACGTAGAAATAAACAAACCGAAATCGAACCAGATTTTTTTGACACCCAAATAACACAACTGAAGCCCATTGAAATGCACGGTTTAGCACGGTTTAGCACGATTTGGTTTTCTTGATTTTTCTATACATTAGATTTTATTTTATACGATTTGGTGTAAAACCGCACCAATCAAAAAATTGAAAGTCAAACTTGTGAAAAATAATAATCGAATCGAACCATTTTATGAAAAAATCAAACAAAAAACGGGCCAAATTTATTTTTCAAGAAAAAAATCTAATTGAACCTCACTGAATTGCAAGGTTCGGTGCGATTTTTCAATTTCGGTTTGGTTATAGATTTTAATGGAGTATGAAAAATGTCCTGACCTCAGGCCGTGTCTCTTGCAGAAGACTTGTCGAAATTAGATTCGAGAAACAATCGATCACAAAAACAGAAAATAAAATTCTAAACACTATATCGCAAGTTTGGAGAATTGATTAAGCTAAAACAAGAGCATTTTATTTAAAACGGGGGTAAGGGAATCACCAAGTCGTGAAAAATAAGAAAAATAACTAAGACCAAAGATAGAAAGACGACACTTAGAGGGTCGAAAATATGCAATCAAATACTAGGCAAGAATAAAAAGGGCTATCATGCTAACTTATGTTAATGCATCAAACAACACAATAAATAAACCATAGAGTAACTTAAAATATCTCATGCATAAATTCGTGCTTAAAGATTATAATAACGGAATTTTGTAAGCCTAAATATCCAAGCTTTAAATGAAAAACTAAACTTACACAATTCTAAGCATGCAATCTAGGCATCAATCAGCTCTATCCTCGTAATCGACC